CCTTCGATTCACTTATGAGTACAACCTTATTTATATATCTCCTTTATTTCTTTTGCTGATACAAAAAGAGTTAAAGTTACAACAATTAGCAAAGACTAAGTCAAAAATCCACATTCAGCATCCAGCCATGATTTGAACTCATATTTGAAAAATGAAAGGGTATCTTGTAAAAATTTTTAATTGTTTCTTATTCAGAAAATTGTATATGAGATGCAAAACGACAAAAAACTTCGGTAAATTCGAAAGACTTCATTGAAAATGGTTACATTCCCATCCCTCCTCTCTCAATAACATGCACGTATTACACTATGTTATGTTCAATTTCCCTGTGTTTTATTAGGCGGGAATTTGATCTCTCTGCATCGTACGGAAGCACATTTTTATCGCACTTAACCATCTGAGAGAAATTATTTTTACAAAAAAACAGTGCTGACATATGGTAAAGAATAGTTACATTGTTTTGTTGCATATTCGTCCATAAACATAGCTTATCTATTAAAAGTTAAAATTTGGTATTGTGCAAGTCTAAGAGAAAGTTATTAGCACAGACATGTTGAATGATTAGTTTTAAGGTACTCACCTCAGTAGCAGGCGGCATCTGTCGACCGTTAAATTGCCGATTATTTCGATATTTCTGGTTTGAGAAATATCGTGTTTGACATTTTTAAAGTTTACTATTTCTTTGAAAAAGTCGAATTTTCTAATGTATACTGAATTTATTGATAGAAATATCTTGAACCCATAGATGAATCTTCTGCGTGATGCCAGACAAAGATGGCTTGTCTCAATGGAAATTAGCATAAATTTCCTCTTCCTATGATAATCGGTCTCAATAACCAAAGGCGATCGTGTAAACTCAAGTAAGAAAAATGAAATAGAAAAGGAACTTGCGAAAAATTTGCGTATGGCTTTTGTTTTATCTCCCCTAAAATAATATCGCTCAGGAGAAACAAAACACACGAAATGCTTTCTAAAAACCTTGTGCCTTTACAAAAGACAAGTGATACTCGATGCTGCCAATTTTTGTTCTTGTTTCTCCCTTTTTTACCGTTTTTGGGAGGGAGACGGCCAGAGCTATTTATCTAGGACCCGTATTATACATAAAGTTAGGAATTTAAAATATAGCAGCGGTAACAACGACATCAACAAAAACAATTAAAAAACTTTACTCAAATTTGTCTTGTCCCAAGCATTTTATGTGTTAACCTCCTTTATCTCAACTGGAATCACGAGGAAATTTCTGAGCGCGGAATTGAGACGTAGAAAATTATCCTAAATACCTATGTTCTCAGATAGGCAAAAATCCGCAAATGAAGGCAGTGTTAATTTTTCTCCGTTTTCCCGTAATCTCCTCGGTGGGCTCGTTAAGTTACGCGGAACCTGCAATTTCTCTTTTTTTAATTTATTTTGTTACAAGACAGCACACCAAAAGTAGAATTATAAAGAAAAAAAGGATTTAGCAACCGTTTCCTTATAGACTCTTGTCCTTAAGAAGACCGTAGAAAATGAAATAGAGGCAACGCATAATTCAAGGTACGAATAAACTTTATTGGATGTCTTACCACCTTGAAGTTATACGAGCCTGCTGCTTAATGTTCCTATATGATTTTAAAAAACCTAAATGATGTAATGTTCCCGTGATGGCTAAAAGATTCCAAGGATTCTGTTATCGATTATAAAACGACGATGTAATGCCAGTTTCTGAGTGGCCTTGGGTTGTTTTCCTTCAACGGAAGCAGTATTGCATGGTAGTCAGCGTTTAACTTCCCGAACTGATTATTTCATGAATGCTTAAGTAAAAACCAGGAAAATCATAATTTACCCTTCGTTAAGTGTAAGATGAAAAGTTCAGGATGAAGACTATAACACACACGATGCTTCGTAAAGTAAAATTCAATGAACTATTAGTAATGCGAAAAGGACGTAAGCAAATTTCAAGACAGTGTGTATAACGAAAAAAAGAAAGTCATATTTGCAGCGCCATTATTTTATTTGAACTACACTGTCGATGACTCATTAAAAACCGTCATGCTAAAAAATATTTAGCAACAGCTGTTAAGTATTTGGCATATCAGCGTAAATTTACATCGCATTTTGTTTAATCTTTTTGTCCTCATTGTCAACTTGAATTTGTATTGTAGCTCTTAAGCCCTTGAGGTTCGAGCAAATCGTTTGTATCGCGTGTGTTTGACGTCCGTGAATTATGGTCATTGTGGCTTTCGCGCAAGATGGAGCTGTGTAAATATTCACCGTAAATTCCAACACGAATCGTCAGTATTTTCTCAAAGACTTCCTCAAGGCCAGAGCAAGTTTTCAAAGTAAAATCGCGCGACAGTTTGATGAAAGTCCTTTCTTAATTAGAGAACTAACTTTCAAAACCACAAACACGTGCAAAACTTTTTTTCTCGCTTAGTAAGAATATATCATCTCTTCTGAAGTTCTTGTCGAGGTCGAGTCGTCATCACTTCACATCTAGAACCGAAATTTCTGAATGGAGATTTTAAATCCTTTGTACATTTGTTCTTCAATGGGCAGTTTAGGGACATCTAATGGAGGGAGATATTGGCACGCTAAGGAGCTTTGTATTAGGATTGTTTATCAATTCTTTCAGACGATAGTTAGGAGCGAAGTTTGATGAGAATAACACTTCTGCGTATTTTTACTACAAAAACTGACAAATTAAGGCGGGCATGAAACGGGAACATGACTTTTCTGTTAATTAAATGTCTATTATTACTAAAGTTGCTATACGTCAAATATTAAAAATACAATAAATTTTGCAGGGTATTTATCTTTTAGTGGGAATGAATGAAAAATGTGCTAAACAAATATGCTGAAAAATATGCTTGATCTTTTAAATTTTGAAAGTTCTTTTTATCAAAAAGTCTAAAGAACTTAACGTCTCAGTATCTGCTGATACTGAGACGTTGATTTAATTGGCCGTCAATTAGAGCTTCAAAAAAATTGATCGAAATTTTTACAATGTTGTTCTGGGGACTAATTTCACTGTCTGATAACATTTGAAGATATTCCTAGGAGATCTAATTCTCTCCATCGAGCGAAGCGGATAACACCCAATTGCGTCATTTGCATTAATGTCCACATAGAACCGACAGCTACAGGCCTTTTTTTAAAATTTATTTTCATAATATGGTTTCGTTCATAACGACAGGTCGATTTGGGAAGCTTAATCCACTGCTGGGAGCTGGCGATCAACTTAAAACTTGTGTCATACGCGCGTGATAGAAACAGAAAACCGTTACCTTGAAGAAGGCATGGAATTTATTTCATTTTTCATGTTCATAGCTTGGAATGCATTATTGACTAACTTCACTTTTGGAAAAGGTGAGTCGCAGACGGCGAATCATTTTTTATCCTTCGATTCACTTATGAGTACAAACTTATTTATATGTCTCCTTTATTCTCTTTTGCTGATACAAAAAGACTTAAAGTTACAACAATTAGCAAAGACTAAGTCAAAAACCGACATTGAACATCCACCCAACATTGGAACTCGTTTTTGAAAAATTAAAAGGTATTTAACAAAAATGTTTTATCGTTTCTTTATTCAGAAAATTGGATATCAGATGCAAAACGACAAAAAACTTTGGCAAATTCGTTTACAAGAGAACAGTGCTGACATATGTTAAAGAATGCCTACAATGTTTTGTTGTATATTCGTCCATGAACATAGCTTATCTATCAAAAGCTAAAATCGAATATTGTGCAAGTCTCAGAGAAAGTTCAAGTTAGCAAAAATATATTTAAGGATTAGTTTAAAGGCACTCACCTCAAAAACAGGTGGCATGACTACCGTTAAATTGCTGGTAATTTCGATATTTTTTGTTTGAGAAATATAGTGTTTGACTTTCTTCATTTGAATTTACTATTTTACAGGAAAAAGTCAAATTTCCCAACGTATACTGAATTTATCGATAGAAACATCTTGAACCCGTATATGAATCGCCTGCGTGATGCCTGACAACAATAGCTCGTCTTAATGAAAATTAGCATAAATTTCCTCTTCTATGTACCGTGTAATGAAGAAAATGAAAAGGTCTATAAAGAAAAATGATTTGTTTTCATAACTTATCGATCATGAATTAGAGAAGGAACTTGAGAAAAATTTGCGGATAGCTTTTTTTAAACGGCTTTTGTTCTATCTCTGCTATAAAATAATATCGTTCAGGGGAAACAAGAAGACACGAAATACTCTATATATATCCTTTCTTCACATGTAATGGTCGCTACTGCTAATTTTCGTTTTTGTTTTATTTTTGTTTTTAAACTGTGGGAGGGAGGGAGTGCTGGGGTTAATTACCTTGTGCCCTATTACACAAAATATTCAAAATTATGATAAATTACAGCAACAGTAAAAGATTGACGGATCGGATTCTTTACGGATTTTGTCCTAACTCCCCTAAAATAATATCGCTCCGGAAAATAGAGAGACTGAACCCTCTCTCTAAAAGCCTTGTGTCTTCACAAAAGAAAAGTGATGGTCGCTGCTACCAATTTTTGTTTTCGTTTCTCTTTTGTTTTGAAAGTTTTTCTCAGTGGGGAAGGGGGCTGGGTGTAATTATCTAGTGCCTTATTATACAAAATATTCCGAAATTGTGATATAAGAGCGGGCACAGCGTGATCAAAAACAATTATAAACTTTATTCAAATTTGTCTTTTACGCAAGCATTTTATGTGTTAACCTACTTTATCGAAATAGAAGTCTCCGCTGAAATCATGTGGAAGTCTCTGATCGCGAAATTGAAACTTGGAAAATTGTCCTAGATACTTATGTTCACAAAAGTCAGCAAATGAAGGTAGTATCAATTTTTCTCCATTTTCCCGTAGTAATGGTTTAATTGAGATCACACTTCTTTGTTTACCAAGCGTGTTATTTTGCACGCTTAATAACTGGAATCGTGAGTTTATTTCTGTATGAAAAGAAAAAAATTGTTTTCTAACTATATTTTGATTGCTTTATTTCAGAGCGAGATCGCACAATGGTGTTTCCAGATTACTTCTTCTTTGCTAAAAGTCGTTTGATGAACCATAAAATCGAAACTAAATACGTCAAAGACTTGGATCACTGTGAGCTTTTTTGCTACATGAACGACAACTGCGTCAGTGCTAACTTCAAAAAAGAGCCAGAGACTAGAGGAATCGCTTATATCTGTGAACTGAATAACGCCACTCATCTTGAATATGATACTGACCTGATGACTGATGCTGATTTTTATTATCGAGGCTCAAAGGTAAAATATAAGGTATAATTCAAATTCAGCAACTCGGTGATGAATCGTGGAAAGCAACCGACGTTTAACAAAACTTAAGTTCGTTCATTCATGTATCAATTATTCAATACATCGATCTTCCTTCTTTATTATTTTTTTCTTTTTTCTTTTCAGAACGCGTGCGGTAAAAACCCACCTTGTCAAAATAATGCAACTTGTCAGTCCGGTTTCACAATCAAGGGATATCGATGCTCGTGCCCTCCTGGATTCGAAGGAGAACATTGCGAAAAAGGTTAATTACATAATAGACCGATAAGAACACAATATAGCCTGGAGTATTTAAACCGCCATATTTATATATCACGTTTGGCCGTCGAGTGCGTATCTTAACGGAAGACTACCAAGGCTGATCTTTGACGACTGATATCCAGCTACAGTTTGGAATGGTGTCTAGAGAGAGATTCCGTTGCAGTGGAAGTTTTGGTTTAATCTAAATGAAAAATTAATCTGTCACAATGATAACTAACGAAATGCTTTTTCATCTCATAAGAGTTAAAAAGACAATGTATATCTCACTCGTGTAATCACTACCGTTGTAGAATTTTTCCTTTCTTTCCCATTTTTTCAGATATTGATGAATGCCAAAAAAACACTCACGATTGCCACCTGAACGCTACTTGTCGATACACAAATGGATCCTTTGTGTGCACCTGTTTATTTGGATTTAACGGAGATGGACGGAACTGCACAGGTAATTACCTCGTTATGACTTTGAGAAATGTTAGTTTGCGTGAGTTTGTTTGTTTTTATACTCCAAGAATCGTGATTGAAAGCCTGTCATTTCTCAGACATTGACGAATGCGCAAGAAATCTTTCTTGTCATGTGAATGCCAACTGTACCAACACCATTGGATCACATGTATGTACATGCCACACTGGATACACTGGAGATGGACAGACTTGCTCAGGTGATTTTAATAAGTTTCCTTCAATGCTCAGAAAAGTCCTTTTTGATCGAAGAGAGACAATCTTCATCGCTCCTATTTCTATGCATACAGTCCCAGCTATTTAAAGCTAATGACAAAATGCTGAACATTTTCGTTGACCAGCTTTCTCTTTAATAAAACATAGTGACCAACAACTCTCTGGAGACAACTCTCGCACTTAATGATCAAAATAAGGGGGTTTATACATGTATCATACTCCAAGAATCGTGATTGAAAGCCTTTCATTTTTCAGATGTTGACGAATGTGCAAAAAATCTTTCTTGTCATGTGAATGCTAACTGTACCAACACCATTGGATCACATATATGTACATGCCACACTGGATACGCCGGAGATGGACAGACTTGCTCAGGTAATTTTAATGAGTTTCCTTCAATCCCAGCCATTCAAAGCGGAGAGTAATCTAAAACGTCCTTTTAAAATATATTAAGGTTCACACGGCAACCAGGTGGACAATCAGCCATAGTTTGATGCTACACTGGTTTGCAGATTTAACGAATGTAACCAAAGAAGTTACAATTCATAGACCCAACGTTTCGACACTCCTGTCTAGTGCCTTCATCAGGGGTGATCTAAACGCTGCAACAAGAGGTCCTTTTATATGATCACTAATTAGCCGCCTTTTTTTTTTTTTTTTTTTTCTGACGAGGTGTAAATAGGCGTCAGGAAGCAGACCGCCATCGTCACGATTTAAAGGAGCGTGGGCGGAATTTCTGGAATTTCCGGAATTTCTGCGGTATCCGGAAATGAAGCGGAGCGCCTCTTGTCGCATTTGAATTCAGTAGAGCCGTCGATCCAATTCACCCTTGAACGTGAAAAGGATAGACATTTGCCCTTTCTTGATTTAAATGTGTCCGGAGGGGTTCAGGGTAATTTAGAGACAAGTGTCTACCGTAAACCCACCCACACCGACAAATACCTCGCTTTCGATTCTCACCATCCTATTTGCCATAAGAAGTCTGTAGCCAAAACTTTACTTAGGAGGGCTGATTGTCTACCATCATCACTCGATTCGAAGGCTGAGGAGAGGAAATATGTTTCCAGTGTCCTAAAGGCAAATTGCTATTCAAAAACTTTTCTCCGTAACTGCCAAAAACCAGTTACAAATAGTAACGCTCTTGATGAAAGGGAACCAGCGACTGGTTTTGCTGTTATTCCTTACATACAGGGAGTTACTGAACACATCAAGAGAATTTTGAATAACCACAACGTTAAAGTTGCTCAAAAACCTTTTCAGACTTTGGGGCATATTTTCGCCAAACCTAAGGATCCTGTCTCGAAAGAACAACGAACCGACGCCATTTATTCGGCTTATACTATTTTGCGAAACGAAACGAAACGAAACGAAACGAAACGAAACGAAATCGGGTCAGATGAAATAAAACAAAAGGAATAATGCAGATATATTTTCAAATAAGGTAAAGATAACTTTCACAAGGATTTTGGAGTAATCGTTCATTAATAAGAAGGATTTTTATTCATTTCGCAAAATAGTAATTTTAGGAGAGTTACTATTTTGCGAAATGGACTATTTTCACTCTGCGGTGACAACGTGACCTCTTTCATGTCGCGAAAATACATTTAAACATTACAAATTAGTATATAACCGAACATTTTGGCCTCCTCTTATTTCTTAAACCGTATTAAAATATATTTCGCAAAATAGTAATTTTAGGAGAGTTACTATTTTGCGAAATGGACTATTTTCACCCCTGCGATGACAACGTGACCTCTTTCATGTCACAAAAATACATTTAAACATTACAAATTAGTATATCACCGAACATTTTGGCCTCCTCTTATTTCTTAAACCGTATTAAAATGTATTTCGCAAAATAGTAATTTTAGGAGAGTTACTATTTTGCGAAATGGACAATTTTCACCCTGCGGTAACAACGTGACCTCTTTCATGTCATAAAAATTCATTTAAACATTACAAATTTGTATATCACCGTACATTTTGGCCTCCTGTTATTTCTTAAACTGTATTAAAATGTATTTCGCAAAATAGTAATTTTAGGAGAGTTACTATTTTGCGAAATGGACTATTTTCACCCCTGCGGTGACAACGTGACCTCTTTCATGTCACAAAAATACATTTAAACATTACAGATTAGTATATCACCGAAGATTTTGGCCTCCTCTTATTTCCTAAACCGTATTAAAATGTATTTCGCAAAATAGTAATTTTAGGAGAGTTACTATTTTGCGAAATGGACCATTTTCACTCTGCGGTGACAACGTGACCTCTTGCATGTCGCGAAAATACATTTAAACATTACAAATTAGTATATAACCGAACATTTTGGCCTCCTCTTATTTCTTAAACCGTATTAAAATATATTTCGCAAAATAGTAATTTTAGGAGAGTTACTATTTTGCGAAATGGACCATTTTCACCCTTGCGGTGACAACGTGACCTCTTTCATGTCACAAAAATACATTTAAACATTAAAAATTAGTATATCACCGAACATTTTGGCCTCCTCTTATTTCTTAAACCGTATTAAAATGTATTTCGCAAAATAGTAATTTTAGGAGAGTTACTATTTTGCGAAATGGACAATTTTCACCCTGCGGTAACAACGTGACCTCTTTCATGTCATAAAAATTCATTTAAACATTACAAATTAGTATATCACCGTACATTTTGGCCTCCTGTTATTTCTTAAACCGTATTAAAATGTATTTCGCAAAATAGTAATTTTAGGAGAGTTACTATTTTGCGAAATGGACTATTTTCACCCCTGCGGTGACAACGTGACCTCTTTCATGTCACAAAAATACATTTAAACATTACAGATTAGTATATCACCGTACATTTTGGCCTCCTCTTATTTCTTAAACCGTATTAAAATGTATTTCGCAAAATAGTAATTTTAGGAGAGTTACTATTTTGCGAAATGGACAATTTTCACCCTGCGGTAACAACGTGACCTCTTTCATGTCATAAAAATTCATTTAAACATTACAAATTAGTATATCACCGTACATTTTGGCCTCCTGTTATTTCTTAAACCGTATTAAAATGTATTTCGCAAAATAGTAATTTTAGGTGAGTTACTATTTTACGAAATGGACAATTTTCACCTTGCGGTAACAACGTGACCTCTTTCATATCATAAAAATTCATTTAAACAAACAAAAGCACGTGGAACTTGCACAAATGCGAAACACGATCTCTTGCTCGTAAGGAAGAGGTGTGCGACGGGGGTGTAATCAGAAGCGCGTACGCGTAACTTTTCCATGTATATTATTTTTATTAAAAATTTTGAAGCAAAGGAACTGTATTACTTGCGATTATAAAACTGCTGGACGACTATTTCGGCATGGATATGCTTCTGTTCTCTATACGAGACGGAGAGTCTAAACATGTTTAGACGCCACTGGAAAACTGTCATGTTGGTGCAACATGCCAAGATGTTCGGTGATATACTAATTTGTAATGTTTAAATGTATTTTTGTGACATGAAAGAGGTCACGTTGTCACCGCAGGGGTGAAATAGTCCATTTCGCAAAATAGTAACTCTCCTAAAATTACTATTTTGCGAAATATATTTTAATACGGTTTAAGAAATGAGAGAAGGCCAAAATGTTCGGTGATATACTAATTTGTAATGTTTAGATGTATTTTCGTGACGTGAAAGAGGTCACGTTGTCACCGCAGGGTGAAAATTGTCCATTTCGCAAAATAGTAACTCTCCTAAAATTACTATTTTGCGAAATACATTTTAATACGGTTTAAGAAATAAGAGGAGGCCAAAATCTTCGGTGATATACTTATTTGTAATGTTTAAATGTATTTTTGTGACATGAAAGAGGTCACGTTGTCACCGCAGGGGTGAAAATAGTCCATTTCGCAAAATAGTAACTCTCCTAAAATTACTATTTTGCGAAATACATTTTAATACGGTTTAAGAAATAACAGGAGGCCAAAATGTTCGGTGATATACTAATTTGTAATGTTTAAATGAATTTTTGTGACATGAAAGAGGTCACGTTGTTACCGCAGGGTGAAAATTGTCCATTTCGCAAAATAGTAACTCTCCTAAAATTACTATTTTGCGAAATACATTTTAATACGGTTTAAGAAATAAGAGGAGGCCAAAATGTTCGGTGATATACTAATTTGTAATGTTTAAATGTATTTTTGTGACATGAAAGAGGTCACGTTGTCACCGCTGGGGTGAAAATGGTCCATTTCGCAAAATAGTAACTCTCCTAAAATTACTATTTTGCGAAATGAATAAAAATCCTTCTTATTAATGAACGATTACTCCAAAATCCTTGTGAAAGTTATCTTTACCTTATTTGAAAATATATCTGCATTATTCCTTTTGTTTTATTTCATCTGACCCGATTTCGTTTCGTTTCGTTTCGTTTCGTTTCGTTTCGTTTCGTTTCGCAAAATAGTATAAGCCCATTTATTCTATTCCTTGCAATGACTGTGGCAACGAATACATCGGACAGACCAAACGCCAGTTTGGTACACGGTTAAAAGAGCACCAAAAAGCGGTTTTTCTTTGCAAAAAGGAAAATTCAGCTTTATCGGAGCATACTTGCCTAACCAACCATACAATTGGGTGGGATAATTCTAAAATTATCACCACTAATCGGCGTTACCACCAGCGCCTTTGTTTGGAGGCTTGGCACATTAACTCCGCCCACGCTCCTTTTAATCGTGACGATGGCGGTCTGCTTCCTGACGCCTATTTACACCTCGTCAGAAAAAAAAAAGGCCGCTAATTAGTGATCATATAAAAGGACTTCTTGTTGCAGCGTTTAGATCACCCCTGATGAAGGCACTAGACAGGAGTGTCGAAACGTTGGGTCTATGAAATGTAACTTCTTCGGTTACATTCATTAAATCTGCAAACCAGTGTAGCATCAAACTATGTCTGACGTCCTTTTAACTCAAATTATGATGCGAGAAGTAGTCAAACATTTATCCTAAAATGTAGTTCTACTCCATAATTCACCCTTATTAGAAATGGTGGATTATTTCACTTTGTCCAAAAATCTTTTGAGATTAGGTTTTGCAGTATTTTGTACAGGTGTTCATTGTATATTGATCAACCAAAACATTTTTCATCTTAACACCCAATTGTGGGCTGTAACGTGGTGCACTTGATCCCCATCAGACATCGACGAGTGTTCACAAATGAACATCTGTGGTGAGAACGCCTCCTGCAGTAATAACCAGGGCTCCTACAGTTGCGCCTGTAATCCTAAATACATTGGGGATGGTTTGACTTGTAAAGGTTAGTCTCTTTTAATCCATGCCTTAAAAAATTTGTAAAGATAGTACTGGCTGAACTCGCTGTCAATAATGTTGAGTGAATGGCTATTCTTGTTTGGCCATGTAACAAATCACGTTAGTTCTTAGAGCCTTTAGTTTGCTTGAACGTCCTTCGACAAACCATTAAGGAAAAAGAAAGATATATATATATATTTTTTTAAAGACTTGATGTGCATGGTTTTTGTCTTACAGGAGAGAAAACAATGGCCCCCATTATTTATTGTTGATGACGCATAAATGTTCTTGTAAATAGAATTATTATGAGGCTGTGTCTCGAAAGGATTAAAAGCAATCAACCAGCATAATCTGATTGGCTAAAATCGATGTTGACCGCGGTTAAGATTTTCCCATTTTGGCCTATTAAGGTGATTCCTAAGAAGAAAAAAATTACCTGATAATTTTTTTCAATCTTTCCTTAAATGTTCCCTAACAATGTCTTTTTCGGAAGATACAATAAGAAAGACAGGTCACCGTGCTTGTTTGAGAGAAATGACGGGCCAAACTTACCCCATTTATGCCTCTACTAGCAGTTTTTCACGCGCGTCATTTCACGGTACATTTTTCGGTAACAAATTGAATCTTGCGATCAGTCTAAAGGAGATTCCTTAGTATTGCACTGGGCATCCTGTGCTGCGTAAAAAAATCACGTAATCAGCAGGTGAATAAGCGCGTGGGAATTCCGAGAGCACGGTATTGCTTTTTAATAAATGGACCCTGCAAAGAGGTACGATGCTCTTTAGCTCTTTAACGAGCACGGTGACCTCTCTTTTTCATTGCATAATTTTAGTGTACAATTTAGCCCCTTTTTATTGGAGAAATTAAAAATCATCTTGATGATGAAATTATGACCTTGAGAGCAACGACTCGAGGAACGTTTCAGGTCAATGCCGATTAAAGTTACTTGATTTTTTCACAAATTGTATATTAAATTGTTCCCTACTTTCAAGACTTTGTGCCTTTCAAGTCTTTTTTTTTTTAATTTTTTTTTTAAAAACCCTTGCCTCCAGCTAGATCATTTCAATAGTAATTAATGGAAGAATAAATACCTAAAATTAGGAAGCAGGCAAAGAGAATAAGGAAAACGTAGATAAATTAAACACTCGGAGGGTTGGGAAATTTCTTGAAAGTTATGCGAACCCTCGACTGTGTGTCGGGTTTGCATAATTTCCTCATATTCTTCCAACCTTCTCTCGTGTTCAGATGAGAGTATGTAAACACGGAAAAAAGGTCCTCTATTGCTTTAGCAGTAAGCGGCCACAACGAAGTTGCCCAGGCAGATCTGCTCAGTTCGAAGAAAAACTATTTACTACATTACAATTCCACTACGACACAGAGAACTTTTTCACAGTCAAATAATTTTAGCTTTAGGCAATTTTTGTGGGAGCACTTATCAACAAGTTTTTTGACTTTACAGTAATCAGCAACCTTTTCTGTGGTCAGTAGAGTTGTATGAAAACCCATTCCCTGAGAGATCGAGCCACAGACACGCATTAAAACTTGTTGTATGTGGTAACTATTCAAGGATTTTGCATCGAGGCTGTATGACAAACTCGGCCATTTGTCCTCATTCAATAGGTAGAGAATAATACATGGGAGCGTGTTGATACGGAATTTCTCTTCGAGTGTTCAACTCGCTGTCTTATGAGTGAGAGCAGCGAACGAGTAAGGTGTCGAGCAAGAGAATATAAACTAAACGGTTAAGAATATATGAAAGTCATTTATTTGAACTGCGGACTTTCATATATTCTTAACCGTTTATTTCATCACTTCACGGGTTTATTTAGAACCAACATCATGACCAGCTCCCAGTTGGCTTGTTGACTCAGTTGGTAGAGCGCTGCTCCGGTATCGCAGGGGTCATGGGTTCAAATCCCGTATAAGCCTGAATTTTTTTCAGGCCTTATTTTCACTACTGCCTAAGTAGTGCACATTACTGCGAGGATCACTTTCATTCACAAGAATATAAACTGCTATAATTTCTTGGTATCGAGTTGAACACGAGAAGAGAAGTTCCATAACTGCTATCAACCATGTATTATTTTGTTTATCATATAATCAAAATAGGCCTTTACTGAGAGGAAGGGTTTAAAGAATGAAATTATAGATTTCACGGTCCGCTAAAAAAAAAAGGCGTAAAGCGCGATAAGACTCGAAGAAATGGCAAAATTCTCAAAATTTGCAGTTATTGACTTTTTCCTTACCGAAAGAATAAATATTTCCACGTGTATGGCCACAAACAGCCTGTGGCAAATCTTTCAGTTGTCGATTTTCGTTATCAGCTGCGAAAACATACCATTGCCCAGGTCAAGTATGTAACTTTCAATTTTTCTTCTCGTATTTAGTTTTACTTCCGCTTCTAGGAAATTTTAAAAGCCATTGTCCGTAAGAAATACGAATTTTTTTTGTGTTTTTAGCAGTCATAATCCAAGAAAATCTCGACAAGCAACCCTGGATTGAGAACGGTTAACGCTTTGCCATTCATTTATTAACCTTACACAGCTGATTGGTGATATTAAACAAATGTAAAAAGTTATCGTAATATTGTAGGCGTGCTGTTACGGCTTTTCACAGGGCGGGAAATCCTTCTTAAACACCGCAGTTTATGTAATAATTTTTTTTCCTTCAGCTTTCTTATAAAGAAAAATATACAAAATATCGCATTAACCGAAATTTAACTTTTTAGCCGATCCGTGCTATAATTACAGAAACCTGAGCGATGCTGACAGAAAGAGCACTTACAACACACCCTACGGTGGAGAAAAATGTGACGACGATTCCTCATCCATAATATTCGGGAAATGGTATCGTTTCGTGGGAGATGCAGGAACAAAAATGCCAACACAGTGCGTACCGGATAATAGATGTGGTGCGGTCTTCTCAGGCTGGCTAAAAGGTGGTCACCCCACATTGGCAGATGGTGAGGTTTCTTCAAAGGTCTGCTTTACCAGAGGTGGAGATTGTTGCGAGAGATCAGTTGGCATAAAAGTGAAAGACTGCGGATCCTACTTTATTTACAAACTACAAAAGCCACCTAGATGTGCCTCGCGCTACTGTGGCACAGACTAAATGTTATGAGCAAGTCATTCTGCACGGTGAAAGGATTCACAAATCAATTTATTGGCACGCACATGTACATCAATGATAACAGGGAATTAGCTTTAAGAATTTCACATGATCCAGTTTTATGGTAAATGTTAAACAGTGAGCAGTTTCCACACAAGAGTACCATTGGACCGCGTAGTTTGGTCTTCCATATGAGAGGACTCTTAAAAATTGTGGCTGAAGGTAGTGAGTAATAGTGACTGACATTTTTAAAACCTCGGCTGAAATCGTCATCAGAGTCAACTGAACAATTGTTGTTTATCCGAGTATTAGAACAGATTATTAATATTATCTAGGTTTGATTAGATAATAATCTCGACTTTTTTAATGAGCTTTCCTTTAGAATTTATGAAGACGAATTTCTGAGAGAAACAAGTTGATCAATTCTCCCTTTAGTCAGTTATTTGATAGAAAAGATCTTTTCAAGAAATCCCACAGAATTGGTATCTCTAAGACAAAATTAAACGATACAATCGACTCGTTATCAACATATCCCGGGCAATAATAAACTATCAGACTTAAAAAACGTTAAAAAAATATTTATTCTTAAACGCAATAATTACAATTATTTTAAAATTAATACTTAAATTTGTAGCCGATCCGTGTTATGAAGAAGAGTGAGGATAATAGAAATTCCATTGACGATACACCGCTAAATGATCCAGTGTTTTGTGATACACAACTCTCCGAGGGATGGTACCGTTTCGTGACAGCTGTAAGAACTAGAACTCCAGAAGAAGAGAAACTCCATATCTACGCGCGCCCATGTATTATTCTCTATTTATTTCTCTTCATAATCATTACTTCACTATTTTAACTCTTATCGTAAATGTAAATTGTTGGCCCAGGCGAGATATCCGGTCTGGTTGAATGGTGACCATCCTATAATGTGAAATGGTGAAGTCCAAAGGATGGTCCACTTTGGCACGATTAAAGCAATTGACGAGTGTTACTAGAAGATTTCTGAAAAGAAAAATTATGACATCAGATGTATCTACAAAATTGTTTTGAACAAGCTGTGAACTGTGCTTGAGTGGTTCGGACTAAATTTGAAGCAAATAAATGCACGTAATGAGAGGATTCACATATAAATGCGTGGAGGTAGATGTGTATCCTCCCCTCAGTCCTCTCCTTATTAACATGACGCGTGAGAATTTATTAGGTACTCAGATCCTCTTTGAAAGTTGAATCTTTATACAGGGTCAAATTAGCAGTTCGAGCGCACGGGGCAAGTTAGGGACGAATTACACTTAGAATATAGCAGCCCATTGAACATGGTGCGTTGCCTAATTTAAATAGCGCTTCGACACTTATGACCCTCTTACAAATTAAAAAGAAAAGTAACACAAACATTACCTAATTTACCAACGTTACTGTCTTGTTGCCTTATCTATTATCATCTCGTCTCTCGGGACGATCCAAAATCATTTCACCTAGGGTGTTTGCGCCCTTGGTTATCTGCTTGCAGGTTCTCATAGCTTCTAAAACCTTCTAAAAGTCTTCTGCTTTTGTTTGTTTCCCTTTGTTTTGCTTTATTTTTTCAAGGTACGTCTATAAACGAGTCTATGTAGCCGTTCAGAAATCTTTGCGAGAAGAACTACACGTAAATATTTGATTTGATAAACTTATATCACTCTCGCTTCCACTGACCTCATCCCCCATAAGAAAGATCTACGTGTGTCTCTAACCCAAAATAATTAATGATAACAATGAGTTTCCGACTTATAGCATTTTAAGAGACGCGCAATAAGAGTGAAAGGTTTAAACAAATCAAAAAGTTCGTATTTGATTAACAAAATTATGGCTGTGTTTAGATGTTAACATCTAAGTCAAGTTATCACCTTTATAACAGAGCTCAGAGTTCTCATCTTAATAACAGAGCATCAACAAAAGCACAGAACTTTTTCTCGATTTAAACTTGACGTGCGGAGAACAAGCTTTAAACCTGTTCCTTTTCCAGACATCTCATTAATTACTTCAAGCCACATCCTTCATTCCATATCCACTGGCTTCAGTGACGGCAAAGGAAGAGTAAAAAAATTATATTTTGATCTTTTAGGAATAACAATTACACCTATTCAAACCCTTTGAATATTCATTACACATTATGACGTTGAAATTAGCATAAACTAACTGTGTAATTGGGTGCGAACCTTCGTTCTGTTCTGTTGGTCCTCTCGATGGTTCCTTGTTCTCCCACCAGCTGCTATAATGTCTCAGCCTCCGGAGATTATTGCCCCTTTACAGTCAACAAGTGGTGTCGTCCCTGCGACTGGGAATACTTCTGGTAGTTCTGGCAATCTCAGTAAGGTTCCTTCAACTCAAGCCGGTTCAGGTGCCAATTTAACTCCACCGACAACCTCGGCTTCGGCTAATACTTCTACAGAGAGAGATCTTGAGATATATTGTGCTTTTTTCATTGCTTGAATTATCGTTCTATGGCTCAGACGATTGTTTATGCCGGTGTTTTAGTCATTTGTTCCGCCGAGCCAGGCAAATTTAATTCTCTTCGGCAGCTCTGGAGAATTTTGTGCAATTTTGCTTGTCTCATAGCCTTAGGTTACCCCCTTTTATTATTAAGTTTCTCGGATATAAGTCTGAATTTTTGTGGTCTAGTAGCTAGCACGAATGCCAGAGTTCTTCTTGCTTTCATTTCGCTGGTTGTCTTTTTGTATCATCGTTTTGGTAAAGTTTCCGCACAGCCCCATACTATTGTGAAATAAATCTGTTTTCCCAATGGAAAAGTATTGTTTTAGTTATTGTCTTCTATATTCAAGAACTGAATGCATAATATAGGATGGGGTTGTGTGGAAATTTTACCCAAGATCGTTTGGCTTTGCTTTCGTGGGGTTTGTACATATGTTTATTCTTTTATTGCGCATCTTCTTCTCGTTTTTTCCCGGCATTGCCGCAGTATTGGGTTTTACGAGTATTTGCATTTCTATTGTATCTGTCGATCGTTTTTATAAGTAACGCTTCCCACAGGTAATGTTTCGCTGTTGCAACAAATTCCCAGCCTATGCAACGAGGTCAACTTAATGAGGCTGTAGAAAAGTAAAATCAGTAATTCGAGGCCAACAATGGGCCTGTATCGAGGCCGAAACGAGTAGAACGACTTACGGGCCTGTCCCCAAGCCAATGGGTAAACGAACAAAAAGAATTTGTTCTGAATAAAGAAAGGAGGCCATTATCGGATAGATACTGTGGGCCTGTATGAAGAGGGTCTGAATGGGGGGGTCAAAATGTCGGTTGTCGGTTAAAACATAGTTAGTAGAGGAGTCTCCTCTACTAACTATGGTTAAAATTTCATTAATTTGTCGGTTGTCGGTTAAGATTTTTGACCTTTGTCGGTTGTCGGTAAATCTCAGTTAATAATTAAAAATACACGTTAATTATTCACATTTATTATGCAATTTGCCCAGTTTTAAGACTTTAAACTCGAGACGAAGTGTAATACTTGTAATAATTCATTATTTGTTTTCACTTAAGCCTCGTTAACACTGTTTTTTAATTTAGCAACGTGCTCATCTACCCCACTTTTGTTTGCAAATCTAGTATACCGATAAAATTCACCAAAGCTTTTATTATAGATGTGAATTTGTTTCCTGTCGACTACGGGGCATCGAAGTAAATCAAGAGAGGTAAATTCTACAAAGAATGAAACACCCACTCTAGCCCCTGGGATACCTAATTTTAATTTTTAAGCTACGGAAGTCTTTTTTCCGAGACGTCCACAAAAACTCACTACACTTATTATTCAACGGCTCTCGTGGCTTTTCTGCGAGGTTTCTTTTTTTTCTCTTTTTTTTTTTGCCAAAAATTTGGTTGTCATACGTATCAATCTGCACCGTTAAATGGATTTTTTAACTGTTGGTACCTTACATGTCGAGACGCACAAATGCACGAACAGCCCTGCCGGATCGGGTAACACACGCTCTGTTGACAACCTCTGGATGTTCTTCAAAATCTGATTCCTCGTCATCCGAATCTGTTTCATACTCATCGATTTGTACTTCTCTGTGATCCTCAAACACCTCAGTAACATCCCCTTCGTCCACAAATTGTATGCTGACAACGCGTTGTGCATTTTCTGACGATACAGTGTTTTCTTCAGGATATCGAAGCCTCTCTTCAGACTCGTCGGTGTGGTGAACGGCGTAGACAGCTGGCGGCAAGGCCCCAGCCTTATCTTTTGTGGTCTCACTCCTAACCGTCCGTTGGCGTACTGGTCTGTAACTCTCTAGTCACTCTTTGATCTGTCCTTCCATCCCTGGTGTTATGTCCTCACTTGGCAAAGGTGTCATCGTAGCTATAGCAGAAAGGGGCATGGCGGATTGAGGTACCGGATAGTAGGATTTGTCATGCGTGTAGTACTTTGCTGCCCATCTAGATGTGCGCTTCAGAGATTCCTTGCAAATTGTTCCAAAATCCTGGGCATATGTAAATACCGTAAATGTCTCGTGTTTAAGGTGCGAAACAGCGTGCAAATTTTCCACTACTGTTGTGAGCAACGTTTCGAGCAGCAGATCATCTAAAAATTGGGGGTTAATGTCCATCACGTTCTTGTATAGCCTTTCTATGCCCATTTTAAGCAAAGACACAGATACTTGCGTCTTCTGTGATACATGGTTCCCTGTGGACCATTGGTTGCAGACGTCTCACTCAACTGGTAGCGTTCTTTCACCTTACTCACAGTGTCTTTTACATAGCTGTCAATCTTTGTCACGTTCTCTTTTGCTTGTTTCAAGGACACTCCGTCTGGTTTCATACCCTTAGAATGAATTCCAAAGGTATCGTAAAGGGAGCCAAGAATCCCCAGAAAAGATACCGTTTCTGAGAGGCTCGTCACTATCTTCAGTTTTCTAGCGGAATGAAAAGATCATAGACAGGCCTACACAGACTCCCCTGTGTGGTTTTACGTTTGCGACGCGAAAGCCTTTAATTAAAGCTTCGCTCTGACGAGTATGTCTTTGAGCGATTTACCTCTTTTGTATGGTATAATCAGAGGCGTTTTGTAAATTGTTTTCAGCAGTGGCTGATTTTGGATGAAGTTCCATTCTTGCATCAGTATTTGTTTTAAATTTTTAACCCCTGGGTGGTATGCTGTCACAAAAGGCAATATTTTGCCTGTAGTTTTTTTGGTTTGTTTTTTAAGTGTCGACTGCCTTGCGGCAAACGAGACCTCAGATAACGTTTTTTCAATTAGGCTTTTTGGGTAACCACGTGCTTCAAGTCGTGTTTTGAAGTTACACATGGCCTCCTGGAAATTTCTTTCCGAGGAGTTTGTTCTTAGAAGTCTGATAGCTTCTCCTTTAATAAAGCCTTTCTTAACACCTGGCGGGTGGCAAGATGAATAGTGTGTATATTGAAAGGTCTCGGTCGGTTTGTAGTCAGTTTTGACGTCGAGGATAGCTTCGTTTTGGAATCTTTCACCTTTGTAGACAACCGTGTCTAAGAATGTGATTTCAGTCTCTGAGAATTTACAAATTTTTTGTTGTTTTCTGTGTTTTCAGCCATGATTTGGGCTTTAAAAATAGCTCCACGGTTTCTTTTACCAACGCTACTAGAAGACGGCGCGAACATTGGTTGTCTTGGTTTATTTTTAAAAATACATTTTAGCCCGGCAAATTCTTTATTTTAGCACGTAAAATGCGCCACAATGCCCATCAAAGTGATAATAATACAGTTTTTAGCCGGAATTTAAAAGAAACTATCTTTACATAGCGAACGCACCAAGTGAGCGTTTTTCGTTGTATAAACAAGGCAGTGTTTATAAACAAGGAATACCGCAGAATTTCCAAAGTAGCGAAATTTATGACTTTTGAAAATCAGGTAAACGAACTACAAGTGCTAATTCAGCCCTACCATCCTGAAACTTTTGAAGGTCTCCTTGTTGCCTTTCGTTTCTCTCGATGTCACCTCCTTCAGTCATGATCCTCTTTGCCAGATTTTCATCTTCTTTTGCTTCTTCTCGTGATTTCCGTTTCCTTCTCACTTTTGACTCGTCACCTTTCTTCTCAGTGTCGTTCATTGACTTCTGCTTGCTTTTATCAGATGTAGCCGGCGCCTTCAGCAACAGTACTGGCTTTCCGGTCCAGTTTGTGACCTCTTGGATAATGTGTACTAAAATATTAAATACCGTGTGTTTTAAGTTTTCTCTTTAGTAGGCTTTTGAGAAACTTACACAGTTCTTATCAGCAAATGCTCGTCAAGATGTATAAAACGTGCACATCGAGCGAAATCTCTCGTGCGTAGCTTCCCTCGAGGAGAGAATTGAATATTATTTGAACGTCTGGTTTTCAGAAACGAATAAATTTAAGGGAGTGTATAAATAAACGGGGTCTTTAATATGTTAAGCTACACTGTTGTTCATTCACCAATTAATCAGAAAGAAGCTTATAAACTGATTTACTCGGTACTTCTTTGTATATATTTTTCTTCTCAATTTTCGCATTCAAATGGACGGTGAAAAAGAAAAAAAAAACATTCCGCTCCACAAAACAACAAACAAAAAGCGGTGGAACCAGAGTTTAAACACGTTAATATTTGAGCTTAATATTTAACTACAGAACTAAAGTGATTCATCAAACTTCGCTGCACGCGTTCCACACTTACCGTTGAGCTCACTGCTACTTCCATCCGATATTAAATTTAGAAGTTCAAGCTGCCATTGCCCATCCGTCACAATTGCAAAATTTTCGCATTTGCCCGCAGGCGATTTCGCCAGGCGAAATAACTTTAACGAAAAACCGCCAATTCCATATTGATGTGCCTGCTCCTTTAGTCCAAAAAACTCCGTAAGATGTTTTTTTAGTTCAGATACTCCTCTATGAGCTTCTTTGTCTACTGGGACCCTGCTTCGATGACGTTCGATGGCGACTTCTTCACCTTTTCGAAAAAAACTCACGATGACTTTAGCAATCCCAGTCATGACCCGACCGCATGAACAAATAACGAGCAATAAAAAGACAACAGCAGGGCATCTCGTCGGCTCGATTGTGATCCGCTGTTCTTGAAATGAGACAGCAGGGCGTCTTGTCAGCCCGATTACGAGCCGCTGTACTAGAAATGAGCCCACGCTGCTCACCGAAAAGAAGGATCCCGTGGATTTAAAGTAATTTGAAGACAAAAAATTCTATAATTCGGCTAAATTTGGAATTAATGTGGTTACGTCGAGTGAAGAAGGATTTTCTGAGCTAGAAATCATCAAAATGCTGTTCTTTCTGAATACAAACATCCCTATCACGTCTGACCATGTCGGTTGTCAGTTAGAATTTATTTGTCGCCAGTCGGTAATTTTTTCCCCGTTTCGTCGGTAGTCAGTAATTTTTTACGCCCTTTGTCGCTAGTCGGTTAACCCCATTCACACCCTCTATGAAAGCCAACGAGGTCAAAAAATTGTTGGACCTGAATAAATCACACGAGGCAAAAATGGATAACGTTATGCTCATGTAATAAAACAAAAAGAAGAAAGGGAGAAAGAAAGAAAGAAAAGAAAAAGGAAAAAGGGCCTGTAAGGAAAATAGAATAATGCGTTCGAGGCCAAAATATGCCTGTAAGACAAGTAAACGAGGCCCAAATGAGTAGAACGACTTAACGGGCCTGTCTTCAAAGCCAATGAAGAAATAAACAAAATAGTATAAATAAAGAAGGCCGTCATGGATAGATACTTTGGGCCTGCATGAAAGCTAACGAGGCTAAAATTGTTAGAATTACAATGACCTGAATAGAGAAAAAGACAGGCCAAAATTAATAATGTTATGGGCTTGCATAAGGAAAATATGGCCAGATGGACCTGCAGGGCTATAGATATTGAATATATGGGATATCTGATAGCCAAAGGGTTGGCAAGTTATTTAGATTTCTCTGTGTTTTCCGTTTCTCAGGTAACAAAATTACGCAAAGAGCTCAATGAGTTGAAAAAGAAAACCGAGTCCTGCTCGATTGATACAGCATTGATGGCTTTACAGGCTTTGGTGGGTCGTTCACCGGCCCTGTTTGATTCCTATGCCGCGATTGCAGCTCTTGAAGAGGTAGTTGACTTAGCACAGAAGTATGCGGAGGAGCGATACTCGAGTAATCAGATAATCCTCAGAAAGTGTCGCCCCCTGGTGGCAGACGCATCCTTACAGAATATCCTGATCAAATTAGTGGCCTCGAAGGAGGAAGCTGAGATTGCTAAGGTAATCGAGAAGGCGAGAAAGTCAAGCCGAGCAGGGGAAAGTTTTTCACCGCCTGTTACAGCTGGGAGAACAAGGGGACCCTCATATGGATAACGAAGAGGTCGTGAGTCCCGAAGATGCTAGAACTGTGGCCAGCTGGGCCATTTGCAGCGTGCGTGCCCAAAGGCTGAGGCATCTAAACGCCAGTAGATTTCTTGTATGAGTGACTTCCATTTATCTTCTGAATTACTCAAATCATTTGTGCAATTTTTTCATAAGGGTGTAACGGAATAAAATGTCTTGTTTGTTGTTCCCTTACCTTGTGGTGTGCTGCCCTTTTTTTTTGACGGCTTAGGTTCAAGAGAGTGACCCCACAAGTTGTATGTCCATAGGGCATATCCTTGAACCCGCGAAGCGGGCTAACCGTGGTCATCTTTCTTGGGCTTGGGTTGGTATTTTTTTCCTTAGTCAGTGTTTTGATTTTGTTTTTCATATCCATTTTCTAGTTTGACTGCGAGGTATTAAATGAATTTAACCCCCGTGGAGTGCAGAAATCTTCTGAGATTAAGTGGGTTACTGTTGATAGACACCCAAGCCCAAGTAAGATGACCAGTGTTGGGAAAATATCCGCGGACGTTGCAAGGATAGAAATGGGGGAGAAGGGAAATATGAATGATCAGCTGTTCAGAGACCCTTCAAGCTTCAGGGCGGCTGAGATCCACAAACACATTCCAGTGTGGGAGCGCATTTTGGAAAACAACCCGTTCAAGGAGCAAATATTACAGTGGTTGCAGTATGGAGTGGATGTCAAGGAATTTATGAAACCATTCAAAGGAACGTTCAAGGGCAGCAAATATGATTCGCGATTTCCTCCCAGAAAACACTTAAAAATCCACCAGTCGTGCAAACTGTTTACAGAGTTCATCTCTAAAACATTGGTGGAAAGAGTGAGGACGGGGGCAGTTCGTGTTTGGGGTAGAGTAGGAACAGTAGAACCCCCCTTGGGTCATCTTACCTAACAAACACCATCAAACCTAACAAACCAAGGCTATGCATCGACGCCCGTTTCGTAAACTTGCGGATGTCGGACACCCCGTTTTCGTTGGATACCCTCGTCTCGGTGCCTAGATATGCGTATCCGGGTTCGTTTCTTCCAAAAATCGACGACAAGAGTGGATACGATCACATCCTTCTTGCTACATCATCTCAGGAACTATTTGGCCTTGAATGGAAAGGGTGGTGGTTCGTGGGAACAACAATCCCTTTTGACTGAAAAAATTCCCCGTTTATATACCAAACCACCGGTATGGCCTCGACTCATTTCTTTGGAAAAATGGGTATTACTTGCGGTTTATATATCGACGGCAGACTAATTGGGGAAATCATGAGTAAGCATGGTTTTTGGTCCCGCAGTTTGGAATAGCGTGATTCGAAGTTTAGTGAGAACGCAGCTGAGGCGGCCCTATACGTAGTGTACAGAGTATTAACGGGACTTGGGTACTTCCTCGGACTTGAAAAATGTATCTCGTCTCCTGCAACCAGACTTCAGTACCTTGGGATGTTAATTGACACTAACGAGCAGGCTTTTATCGTCCCCCAGGATAATCAGGAAAGCAGGACATGGTCGAGAAGTGACGTTTACACAGGGTTTGAGAAAAGAGCTGGAATTTTGGGGGTTTTTAGACACTTGGGATAAATGTGTCCCATGGAGGCAGGAAAGGCATGTTTCATTGGTAGTGTCAACGGATGCCTCGTCTTATCGGTGGGCAGTTATCTTTCACTTCCCTCCAAGAAAACAAAAAGTGGAGATTACTGGGAAGAGGACATCCGCTAAGAACAAATCAATGTCAAAGAACTTAGCGCAGTTCTGCAAGCCGTTAGGTGCTTACCAGCATCAGTACGAGACTGTCGAATCGATGTTAGAGTCGATAACCAGGTGACGATCAATTCCTGGCATGGACGTGGTCCGAAATCACCTAGGTTGTTCAGGGTGGCCCGCCTGCTATTCGAGTAAATAACAGAGAGGAATCTGATGCTTGAGATGAGCTACATACCGTCGGGACTAAATCCCGCGGATTATTATTCACGAAAATTGACCCGTTCAGACGCAATTCTCTCTGCTACTTCATGGGGTGTGGTCCAAGAGGAATTTGGGGGTCCAAGTGGACACAACTTCGACCTCATGGCTTACGATTCCAACGTACAGCACAATCTCAAGGGCGCTCCTCTTCCTCATTTTACCCCCTTTTTAACACCATGTTCAGCCGGAGTGAATCTATTACATCAAGACCTATCCATTTGCGATGGTATTACAGTCAATGCTTACGTCTTCCCTGCTTTTTCGCTGATTGGACCATTGCTTCGGTTCCTTCGATCCCAAAGAGCCACGGTTACGTTTATGGCCCCGAGATTGTCGCCACTCCCTGTCTGGTGGCCCATAATCAACTCGATGTCCAAGAAAAAGGTTTTGATCGCCTGTAAAGGAAGCACTTATACCATATTATTCCCTAAAAAGCAAGGTTTTCAGTTAGGGGAATTGCCATTTGAACTTTGGGCTTTCCGTGTTGACCCAACAGTGTGAGTAAAAGTTATTAATATCTCTTATTCGTCTTTCTTTTTAGACTCTCGCTATGGTTCCTCGACTACTTGTACCAGCAGTATCGTGTCCCAAATGTAGCTATCCGAATGACAATTCTTTCAAGTTCTGCCAACGTTGCGGTTATAAACGCCAACTGCAGGCATCAATGACAACAACGTCATTAAAGGCGCCTATTAATTGGATTGCTATTAAGGAAAGAAAGGATTCTTTAGAGAAGCGTTTGCTTTCAACCCCGAAAAAGACGCCCTCCTTTTTAACCACTTCGAGATGGATCTGAAAACGTGTTTGCTTTAGAGAGGTATAAAGACCCTGTTTTATGCCCCGTTGTAGCTCTAGAGGTCTACATTAAGATGTGTGACATAAGACGGGGGTATTTGAATATTCATTATATATTATGACGTCGAAATTAGCATATCCTAACAGTGTCATTTGGCGCGAACCTTCGTTCTGTGCAGTTCCCGCCCCCCCCCCCCCCCCTCCCCTCACCCATTCTGCTTATTTATCGCCTTATCCCTTCGAGCTTGCTCGTCAGGGTGACTCCCATATCTCATGCTAATGAGTAAGCAGAATGGATATTGAACTGTTCTTTTAGTCGATCATCATGTGGTCAAAAAATTTTAAAAACCTAGAAGCGCGATTATAACACTGTTTACAATTAACTCATTAGCAGGATATTTCGCATGCTGTTGAATCGATCGAACGTATATTTATTAACACATTTTCAATAAGTTTTATTTACCTTAATCAGATCGAATGCCGCCTATGCTAATTTCTGAGCCAATCGCAGCCCTGCAAAGCACAAAGTCGCAAAGAAAATCCACATCTCCTTATTGCATGATTAGAAATCTCTCCGCATAAAAAATGCAGGTCTTCCTACTGTATGATCAAAATTAAAATTGACCCCCTGGTTAGTTCTGTTACAATGCAAAGACAGGAGAAACTAGTTCGTGACAAAACTCCCCGTTATCCCGAGACAACAAGGCTCTTCGTCGCTCTTCTCTTCTTCCCTTTACGCTAATCACCCTGAGAGAGTTTCTCTCTCTACGAGTAGTTAAGAAAAAGTTTAAAGTTTAGAGCTAGTGTGGAATTTATGTCTCATCCACATGAATTGAACTAACTGGTGAGATCATCAAATCAAGGATATCAAAAAGCCCCCTCAGTCAAAAGAAA